TATCTGGTTAAAATTAAACAATTTAGATCTTTTGAGGTCGAGTTTTGGCTGATTTAACAATTTATCACCAATTATCAGCACTTTTTAAGTCTTTCCGAATCTCTCCGTTCTATGTATTTATAAGCAGCTAGTAATAATAAATGTAAAATAACCCCATTGCATTATCCCCTTTTGTTAATTTTTCCTTGATTCAACTCTTGTTAATCCCCCCTACTCAAAGATAAGAGGTCAATAATGATATTTATGACTGCCGTTATCTTTCCGAAAATTTGGGTCGTCGTAAAATTTTTCAAAATTTTTTTTTTTTGATTGTATTGGGACTAATCAGGAACGTTTCCTCTGTCTCGTCGCTGACTTTCAAAGATAAAATAATAGCCAACTATCTTCTTAATATTTGCTTAACGTCATCGTCCAAAGACAGGAGTAAACTTTAATTAAAACTTTTCGTATCATTCTAAAACAAAAAACAGTTTTTTGTCTTTATTTAAACTATCAAATTCAGAGTTATAAATTATCTTAGATTGTTGATTTTGAAAAAATAAATTACCAGGCACTTTTGTTAAACTTTGTCCATTCATGCCTTTTGTGATTTGTAAATTTTCAATGATTAACTGTATTAAAATAATAATAAAAAAAAATGTATGACATCAATAAAGGAAGCCTTAAGTCATATGGGCAGTACAACCACCAACCCTTTGTTGTTTGGTTTGAACATATTTATTTTTTATCAAGTAACAATATTACACATCAAACAAAAATTTATACAAAATCATGATAAAGTGGATTGAAATGGAACCTTTATTGTTTAGTCAGATTTTTATACAAGAAAAGCTAACACATGGCAGTCAATTGTAAAAGAGCTGGAATTAGGTCCAGCTAGACAGCCTCAGGTTCAGAATCGGTCCCATAGACTGCATACATGAGCAGCCTGGTCTGGCACTATACATGTAACATAGAAAAAGTAAATCATAAGCACTTGTGTTGACATATCTAACAAAAATGAAAATTAATGGCTATATATAAAAGCTATATTCTATGAAAAATTTTAAACATGGAAACTCATTGGCAAAGCTTCACAGATTTTTTTTTCTTTTCAATGCACCTTAATAAAACTTAATTTACAAAATGCTTATTAGCTTACATTACATTTCCTGCTGTATTAATTTTGAAACACAAAGAAATGATTATTAAATTATCTTCAGAGACGGCCAGGAATTGTGGGTAAAAATTTACGAGACATAACAGCATTAAGTACTGAAGGGTCTTTTACATTTTTATATCATATCAAGCACTTATAAATTCATGGATTTGGGCCAATTCATCCTATAGGCTTAATGAATGATAATAAATCAAATCCAGTTTTTGTTCATATCAAATTTTAATCTAACAACACAGCTAATCAGAGGGAATTTTCCAAATTATATTTGCATGTGGAAACAAAAGCACTTCTGTTCTTACAAGGTGAAGTTTGGCAGTTTTAATTTAGTTGTTTTTTTTTCAAATAAAAAACCCCCAAACTCTTAAAAGATACACAATTATAACTAGATCATTATATAACTATAATATGGAGAAAAAAAACTGTAAGGCATGGCAGAAAAAACTCCTGAAGAAAAAAATATGAACATTAAAACTAATTTTCTAGCATAATAGAAAACTTTGTAAAGGAAACTTGCACTGTTATCTTTAATCATCAAAGCTCTTTTTTGTAAAATAGAAAAAAAATAACATTAAAAATAATTTAAATTTGCTTTTTTATACTTTCTTGATTCATTCTTTTTCAAAATTAATGTTAACAAATTATGTTAATGTTTTGCTTTGGTTAAACTTCGTACCAGTGTTTCACTCATACAGCATTTGGTACACAACCTTTACAGAGCAATGCCTTTTGGGAGACAAAGGTTTTGGTTGTTGCAGAGCTTTTCACCCTAAATTGTGAAGGGGCCTTGGCCTTTTTTTGTTATGTTGATAAAATATAATTTTTCTTGAAATTATGAAATTTTAGCATTATTTGCCTGTTTATGGAAAAAAAGCTCTGGGCATACTTGTTACTTCTGTTGTAAAGTTGTTCTTGCTCTACAGAGTGCTGCCTTACAATGGTAGCCCTTTATTCATCCCCTACTACACCACCATTATGAAGCAAAGTCTGTCTGCACATCTTTGCAGTCCCCCCTTTCATGCTGTCTTGTCTATGCCACCATTATGAAGTAAAATATGTATGCACATCTATGCAGTGTCGCAAGAGTCTATACTACTGACTGTAAAACTTTATCATTTCAATATCAAAATCTTCACCATTAACAACAGACAGTTCCATAACTCAAGGTAAAACAAAGACTTTTTAGGGTAACACTGGCTCAATGGTCCAGTGATAAAATTGATCAACAACAAATCCAGGGATGGCTAGTGCAATCCCTGCTATCCTTGCATTTCAAACCTTTAGCCTGCTGGTAAATACAAGATCTACCCGAGTAACCACTATCAAACAGCAAACTTGTGCCCTCTGATTATTTTCAGCATTGTTTGCTATTCAGTCAGTACTTTTTTTTTGAGTTTTCCCCTAAAAATGATGAATTATCTTGTCCTGATAAAAAGATGGACTAGTCCATTTGAGATATCTAGGGCGGTAAGGTTTATACTTCTGCAATGGAATAACTTCTGTATTTGTTGCACTTTCCTCCACAACAAGTCTTCTATATTATGCCAAACATGTAATGGATGTGCATACTGGCCTGGCTTGATGCTGGTGGCGAAGACTTATCACTTTCGGTTCCAGCAAGGTAAGGTTTAACATAAAGTAGTAGTGTTGGTTCATACAGAATTGATTTTAGTTTGAATGTGTTGGAAGCTATAAGCTTATACACACTCTTTTGAATCTGCTCCTGGAATCAACCAGTACTGTGCAATCAGTGTATAGTCAAGGAAACAACAACTTACCCCTGACTGGGTTTAAACCCATGCAGCCAGCCATCATTAGAAAGTATGAGCATAAGTACAAGTTTATACCAATTTAAACACTTTCCTGCTACCTTAGAGGTATCTACAAATTTCAATTGCCACTATTTATCTGATACAATCTAAAATAACATAAAAAAATTAAAAAATATGAAAGTAATTGAATTACCTTCCTTTGCAAACAAAAAGAACAAAAAAATAAAAATCCATTTGTTTCTATGTTTAACGTCATTAGTAAAAATTGGAAATAAAATGAAAATTGGGACATATTCTTAATTCAGCCAGGTTTAACATTTTAATTACAACAATTATGCCCCAGAGGAATTTGACATCTAAATTGAAACTCTTAATTGATTTAATTTTAATAGGAAAATCACTAATTAAGTTCATATATAAACAAATCTGTAAAGTGGTAGAGAGATGGGGGGGGGGGGGCATTAATCCTGATAAATGAATGATTAATAATTGGAAAATGATCAACACTGCTAATGGAAAATTTTCCAAATATTTATCCAGTGAAGGAAACAAGCACTTCATCAGAGATTAAATACATTCTGTCCACGATTAGTGCTATACTTAATGAATATTGAAACTCGGACCACCGGTATCAATTTTCCCTCTTCATTTTTTTTTTTAATCTTATACTGCATTTGATTTTTAGCATCAAATATTCATATGACATCATTGAAGTAAAAAATGTAGCCGACGTAGCTTTCAAACTTTAAATTGGAAAAAAAATGCCAGAGATGTTGAATTTATTAAGTATTTTTATGGTCAAGTTAAGAAAGTTATAAACTTAATACCTCATATGATCAATGATTTGGAAAATAAAACAGTCATATTTGACTGTAAAAGTAAATATTTTATATTACTCAGTTTGGAATAGCCTTTGTTTAAGGAGGCCAGACAGAACATTAAATATTCTAAGAACTTTAACTTGCCCATCTAAGACAAGTGGAATTTCTGTGAAGGACAAGTGACTTCCTCATTTAGGACATGAAGAATAGGACATGTGACTTGCCAATCTAGGAAATGAGACTTGCCCATCTAGGATATGTGACTTGCCCATTTACGATATGTGACTTGCCCATCTAGGATATGTGACTTGCCCATCTAGGATATGTGACTTGCCCATCAAGTATGTTACTTGCCCATCTAGGACATGAGACTTACCCATCTAGGACATATGACTTGCCCATCTAGGACATGTGACTTGCCCATCTAGGACATGTGACTTGCCCATCTAGGACATGTGACTTGCCCATCTAGGACATGTGACTTGCCTATCTAGGACATGAAGACTTGCCAATCTAGGACATGTGACTTGCCTATCTAGGACATGAAGACTTGCCCATCTAGGACATGAAGACTTGCCCATCTAGGACATGAAGAATTGCCCATCTTGGACATGTGACTTGCCCATCAAGTATGTTACTTGCCCATCTTGGACATGGAGACTTGTCCATCTAGGACATGAGACTTGCCCAATTAGGACATGAAGACTTGCCAATCTAGGACATGAAGACTTGCCAATCTAGGACATGTGACTTGCCCATCTAGGACATGTGACTTGCCTATCTAGGACATGAAGACTTGTCAATCTAGGACATGAAGACTTGCCCATCTAGGACATGAAGACTTGCCCATCTAGGACATGAAGACTTGCCCATCTAGGACATGAAGACTTGCCAATCTAGGACATGAAGACTTGCCAATCTAGGACATGAAGACTTGCCCATCTAGGACATGAAGACTTGCCCATCTAGGACATGTGACTTGCCTATCTAGGACATGTGACTTGCCCATCTAGGACATGAAGACTTGCCCATCTTGGACATGTGACTTGCCCATCTAGGATATGAAGACTTGTCAATCTAGGACATGAAGACTCGCCCATCTAGGACATGAAGACTTGCCTATCTAGGACATGTGACTTGCCCAGCTTGGACATGTGACTTGCCCATCTAGGACATGTGACTTGCTCAACTAGCATATAACTATCACAAAAGAAATATATATATAAACTTCCGGTAGTCAGGATAACTTACCTATCTTAAAAGTATTCCTGCTCTTTTAAACATCATCAAATCATCTGGGACAGTCGGTACAATTTTCTCACCTAGAAAATGGAAAGAAGCAGACGTCAATATTGCTTAATTTGTCAAAAACATCATCTTCCTTAATTACTTACAAAATGGGGAAAAAAACACAGAAAGTAAGTATGTGTATTAGCTAATTTTCTCCGAAACATTAATCAAAATTGGTATCTTTTCTATGTTTTCAATTTTCCCTTGTGCGTATAAACATATATATACACATATATATATCTACATATATCGGTACTTCACAGTACAATTACAGTATTAATACAGAAATTTGGAATATACAAACTAATTTGTAAGACGTAGCAGCAGACGTTCAGTGTTGAAGCCAGACTCCAGTACTAATTACAAGATTAAGATAAAGGTCACCAATTAGTATAATTAATGAGAATCACAGGGTTAACTTACAGGAAGTGCTTAATTAAGGAACTCCCGAACTTTTTTTTCTGCTCCATAAAATGTGCCAAATGATAACGTCTCTGAAGTAATTAAAGTTATCTTTTTGTCTTATCTCAAAACAGGATTGATTACAACCATGGTTGGGGGAAAAGGCTACAAAAATTATCTCAAAGTTTTATTATTAGATTATCGTTGAAAAAAAACCCTTAGAATTTCTATGAAAACTATACTGATTAATGAGAATCCTAGAATATCAAAAAATATTTTATTGTGTGGAGATAAAACACTGGTGAGTAGACAGGAAGAGGTTTTAAAAATGCTAGGGAGGAGTGCCATGGGGCAGGGGAAAGGAAGACACTTCTAGGGTGTAAAAAATGCTGAGAAGTGTCATGGGGCAAGGGGCAGAAATAAACACTACTGGTGAGCCAATAAAACAGGGTTTCCAAAATGTTGGGGAGGATTTCAACAGGGCAGGGCAGAGAAGAGATTTTTAGTGGGGTTTCACAAAAAATGTTGAGAAGTTCGATCAGGCAGCGCAAAAAAAGATTTTTAGTGGGGTTTGAAAAAAGCCCTTGAGAAGTCCCATGGGGCAGGGCAAAAAAAACAACTTTAGAGTGCCGAAATTTACAGGGCTTCAGAAATGTTGGTGAAAAGTGCCATGAGGCAGGACAAAGAATCAAACTTCAGTGTGCAGACCTTAAGGGTTTTTCAAAAATGTTGGGAAATAATGCAACGGGTCAGGGAGGAAGAAATAAACACTGGTGACCAGATGTCAGAGGGGTTTCAGAAATGTTGGAGAGAAGTGTCATGGTCCAGGGGGGGAGACATTGAGGGAAAGAAACTGAGTGCCATGGAGTAGATACAATGGCAGAGAGAACTGACAATAGATACCATTTTTGTTGCCTTTAAGTAGAACCATGATTCAGCTAAATAGCTTTAATACAGGCAAGATAAAAAGATGGCAAATTAGGCTTTTATTTCTCTATGCAGAGCAATGATGGTCAAATGATCCCTACAAATATTATTTTGTTTCAATTTTTAAGCTAAAAAATATTATAATTATATATGTCATTGGAATTTGCTTTCGTTTCTACAAAGGTGACACCAAGATGAAAAACAAAAAAAGAAATTTCTAAACACATCTCAAAAGTAATAATTTCTGAACATATTTAAAATGTAAAAATTTCAAAAATGCAACAATCACATTTAAACAATATGAAAACTATAGAAAAAAAAACAAACCTTTTTACTTTGTCTCCATCACATTTATCCAAATATCAGAAATTAAATATTTTATTAAAAAAAAAAAGGTTAATTCAATTTCTTATGAAATAAAAAAAATCTCCAAAACAGTACTGACGTTTGGTGATAAAAAAGCATATAACTGCTTTTTAGACTGATTCGTCACCAAAATATCATATCATATTGTCTTAAAATTGTATTTGATATAAATAGAAATCATTAAAAAATACCCCAACAAAACAACAACATTGAAATCAGCAAAAGCTGCGTAAACAATACCAAAGTGCAGCACGGAAATCCAGGCTGTATTTCATTATAGCCTTTTAATAACTAAATTGGCCCAATTATCTTTTCTAATTTTTCAGGAGCTCATCACCCACTTCCCAGACTTACTTAATCACCGGAAGGGTACTAATAGCCAAATTATCTCCCTTGACATTAAAAAAATGAAGATAAATTATTACCGTTTAAAATCATTTGTCTAATTAAGTCATGTATAAATAACCATCGCATCCTGTCAGATTTGTTTAAACATGAGAAATTACGAATAAAATACTGTATGTGAAAAAAAGGAAGCAAAAAATTCGAGACCATTTAACCGAACACTAGAATGGACTAAACGATGATTTTAGATGGTGTAAATGCCAAAGAGTTGATGATGAAATTATCTTCATTATCACTTACTGTCATTTACCATAATTACATACCAAAGTTAACAGCTTTGTCATTCTCTGACGACAGACAGATTCTTGCAGCATTTAAAACATTTTTGTAACATCACTGTATTAAAAGAGACATTCAATTATTCAAAAAGCCTGTACTATTAGCATATTTGAACTGTCACAAAAGCTAGCTGTATGCACAAATTTTTGTTAAGTGATTGTAACTAAGTGAACAATCTATGTAAAGATCTGCACATCAACCACTGCTAAGATGTCAAACAATTTTTCTGCTAAAGTCAATTACTTCTCTGACATTTTTACAATTAAAACAACAGTTATATAACCTCTCCTGGACAGTTTACTTAAATCATACAACTTGATAGTAACATATAACCTGCTCCACTTAAAATATATAACTTTTTTCAATCAACAGTTTTATAACCTTTTTATTTAAATCATACAACTTGTATGTTACATAACCTGCTCCACTTAAATCATATAACTTTTCCAATCAACTGTTTTATAACCCTTTTACTTAAATTGTACAACTTGATAGTTACATAACCTACTACACATTAATCATATAACTTTTTAAATCAAGTTTTATAACCTTTTTTTTTTTTACTTCAATCATACATAACTTGACAGTTATATAACCTGTCCCACTTAAATCATACAACTTGATAGTTATATAACCTGTTCCACTTAAATTGTACAACTTGATATTTACATAACCTGCTCCACTTAAAATATATAACTTTTTCAATCAACAGTATTATAACCTATTTTACTTAAATCATACAACTTGATAGTTATATAACCTGCTCCACTTAAATAATAGAACTTGATAGTTATATAACCTGCTCCATTTACACTATATATCTTTCCCAATCAGGAGATGTAACCATTTCACTTAAATCTTAAAACTTCTGTTATTGTTAGTTATATAATCTGCCTTAAATCATGTAAGCTCTCAAAATGACAGTTACCTATCTACTTTAATGATTCACCTTCTATGATATATATTTTAACTTAAAGACAGTACTACAAAACTTTTCCTAAATCTTAGTCACTGTCTTACTGTATGGATTTACTTTAACACTGAACAATCATTTAGAATTTAAACATGGCAAACCAGTCAGTAATTTTACAATTCAGGTATCATAATTCACATCAACAAGGGGCCGATGACAGTTGTATTGTGTGATGGGTAAACCTAGGTTTCCCGTCAACAATAACTCGGGTTTTCATGGGTGTGTGCCTGTGGCTTAGGGTCACACCACTCTATTCTGTTCCATAACTGATAAGATCCCATCTTATCGGCAGTTTACAGATTTTAAAACTATATTTTACTTTGATTGAATACTATCAGTTTGTAAAACGGCAGTTTGTGTAATAATATATCAAAATTTTAGATTTTTGACAGATAATAAAATTTGACGAAACATTCAAAATGTTATTTAAGGAAATTTAATTTTTAATTGCTCACAGACTATTTAAATTCTCACATTCAGAATAGAAAATTCATTAATAGGAAGGAAAAAAAATCAAATATTTCAAAAATTGCTTCATACCCTGTCACAATAATTTCTTTTGAAAGTGTCGTGGTAATTAGACGTTCCTTTCTTTAACATAAGATTAAACGATAATTCATGGCAAAATATCTTTTCATAACATGATAACAGGGCGACCTCTTTTACACAGTTTTATCTATTTAATTGTTCAACGGAATTAGATCAATAATATTTCTGATATATTTTATTGATCAGGTTTCTATGCTCGGCATTAAATTGCTATTGCCATGCAATTCCAAACCGGCAAATAGCAATAATTAATGATAATTATGTATTTAATTGATATAATTGCCGCTTATTATTTCTGCAATTATTACACAGATAATGAAGCTATCCTTGGCAATGATAAATGGCTGACATCGGACGCAATTAATTTCGGTCTTGGTGTAAAAGTTCCGATTAATTGCAGGATAGTGGAAATTATGTGTATCATGCATGCAAAACTTTTTTTTAAAAATTTCAATTATTTGGGCAAAATATTTATCATCTTGTAACTGCCATGCATTTGTTCAAATTATATTTCTAAAGTATTTCCAATGCGTACAATTGAACAAAATGATCAGGGCAATATTTTGTAATCTAATCTAACTACCCAGTCCTATCAAGTGCCAACTTCCCCTCCATAAAATTTTTATGTTTTTTAGGAGTATTTTTGAAAAGTAAATGTTAGTTTAAAAGTATATTTACTTATGTTATGTTTACAAGAGCTTGAAGTTTATTTAAACTACTATCCAGTACACTTCCTGGTACTAATATTGTTGTCATTTGAGGTATCATGTTCACAACCCTAGTAGGGCTTGAACCTTCATTTCCTGGGTAAACAGTATAGACTAAGCTATCTAAAGGCTAGTATGTTATTACCTTGCCTAAATCACAAAGTATGTTAGAAATAATGATAATTTGCCAATGGCATGATGATGCCATTGCCACCAGTGGCTAGTAGCCATGATGATAATGCCACCAGTGAATGGTAACCATGGTGATTATGCCATTGCCACCAGTGGATGGTAGTCATGATGATTATGGCATTGCCACCGTGGATGGTAGCCATGGTGATTATGCCATTGCCACCAGTGGATGGTAGTCATGATTATGCCATTTCCACCAGTGGATGGTAGCTATAATGATTATGCCATTGCCACCAATGGATGGTAGCCATGGTGATAATTTGCCTTTGCCACCAGTTAATGGTGTCTATAACAATAATGCCATC